CCTCTGTCCCTTGTTCTATGCTTATTTCTTGTCCTCACGAGCATCCTTTATTTTCTCATCTCCACGGGAGGACTCACCTCACCTGGCTTTGGTCACGTCCTCGACATTCATATACTTATGTCCCCTTGATAACAGATCGAGCATGCTAGATGGTGGCTTTTTTAGGATAGAGAACATAAAACTCGATGAGCGCATACTTGCAATAAAGGCGGCCATTGCAACCTTGTTGTCTGGCTCCTCTACCTGGAGAACCTCCCTGTTAAAACAAGTGAGGTAAGTCCTTAGAATTTCATCCTAATCCTGCTTAATGGTGAGAAGGTGGGTAATTGGCTACTGGTATTGGCGTCCTTCTATGAAGTGTGAGATGAAGGATATGGTTAACTCAGCAAACGAGTGGATTGAAGATAGTTTGAGCTTAGCAAAACACTGGTGTGCAAGACGAGAGCTACCCACATGGCCCACACCATCCATCTTTGTTCTGAAGCTCAAGAAGGATATCAAATGTATCGAATTTAACTAATGGCTTATCTTATAAAGGTCTTGTCACTGAATAAATATCGGATTGATCGAGAAACCTTTTTGATTCCCCTATCCCTAGGAGTAACAAACTACAACACAATTCTTATTATGTGGCCAATATGTACGACATGGGCGTGCCAAAGCTTGACGAGGATTTCCAACTCGAGATGTTATAGGGACCTAAATCATTAGGAGAGCGGCGACAATTGCTTCAACAAGAGCCACCATAGACATTGGAAATGTATTCAGTTATTTGATCCATTCCGTAGTGCGAAATCCATCAATGGCTAAACAATCATTTGGATAAGTAATTTTGGGATTTGCTCTAACCGAAACCCCAGAAAATAAAGATTGATTGCCCTATAGATGGACACCTTCCTTGTACTGAAAGGTGAGAGAAGGTTGATCTTGATCTAGGTCTAGCCTAACAAACCTACCCCCCGCCGATTTATTTATTTGTTATGTGAAAGGGTCACCACTACTAAGGATCTCCCCAGTAATCTTAGATAGGTCATCTTAGGGTCCTCCATGATTCATTATTGTGCTTACACAGCATGCTACCCTTTTTCAAAAGCTCCACGAGACCACTTACCACTAGTCTCTGGTCGGAGGGGTTATTGCACAAAAACGCCAGAACGCAGCCTCACGAAGAGGGAAGCCCATTCGAGATTTAGATCAGAAGGCTCAAGAGACCTCTATCTAACAAGCCATTCTTTTTTCTCTTTCGACCTTTATTGATGATTTTAGAATATGAGCTTACAAGCCAACTGCCCCCCTTGTTCGCTTACATTCCCTCGGGCTAGGTTCAGTTGTTGAAACTCAGCCAACTTGTGAAAATTCGTTTAATCTAAAAGCATCTATTTTCTCCAACCGCTAATCCTGCTAACTCCAACGACAGGCAAAGGCCACTCCACAAGAGAACCCCAAAACGGGAGCAAACACCCCTTCTACCTTTCTTGCTATCCTTTAGAGATATAGGTTGCAAAGAGATGGTGAAAGTGGATTAGAGTTCCCAATGGATGGTGAAAGTGAAATAGGAGACCTCAAGCTGCCATACGAGAATAGAAATAAGGGATAGGCACCCAAGCAAGAAAGGGTTCAATGAACGCTATAGTTCACGATGCATAGTTTTCAACTAGAAAAGAAAGGCAAGAACCCTACTTTAGAGATATAGGTTGCAAAGAGAGGTTGCTACTGAGCGCTAACCTGGGATGGGGACAACAGACGATAATAGAAGACAATAAGACGATGCTTCATGAATTAAAGATATTATAATATACTCTTTCCAAAAACTTCTCATACTAGACCAACCCATTAAAATGCAAACAGGGATCAGAAATATGGTCAATATCATGAAAAATAAAAAGATGCAGTCTATACCCAAATAAAGAAGCCATCAAAGGCTTTCTTCAAATTGAGATTTGGCCATAAAGGATCAAATTGTATCCGAAGGTCAGAAAGGGAAATTGCTATCGGCGGGAAATAGGCAGGTATTTCTCTTGCTATGATATAGTGCAACTATTATTATTGATTGATTGATTACCTTATGTGCATGTGTTGTTTTCTCTGGTAGATGATCGTTCAAATTGGAGATGTGGACGAGTTTTAGCCTAGCCCCAAGAAGAAGGTACCGGGACCTCATTGAGCACAAGATTTAAGTGGTTATTGGAGAGTACCCACTCATGCATTGGTTTTGGGCGAGGATCAGGGAGGCCAAATTTACCTTTATGAACCTCAGCGTGTGAAGTGGTCAAGTTCTTGTCTGATACGAGAGATGGAGTCAAGCTACATCAACTATAGAATCAAATAATGGATCAAAAAAACAATCAAGATCGGAAAGAAGAACTGACAATTGTAAGACTAGTTTCTTCTTCTTCAAAACAAGCAAACCAGCTACTCCTATTATTTACTATCTTACTATTGCCTATAAGATGTACAATGCAATTTCCATCCGAATTGAGGCAATCTTTCCAGATTCGATATCCAAGAGTTCCACTTACAATTGGATGAAAAAACTCCGTTTAGCTGAAACATGTGTGGCTTATCTTGACTTTTTTCCCCTTTAGGCTCTCTGAGGATCAAAAGGAAGCAAAGTTTCCCATTGATGATAGGAAGAGGGGTACTCCCTATACAAGGGTTCAAGTTGAGCATACCCTTCGATTGAAGCTTTCCTCTCTCCTCCTTTTTTAGTCGACACCATTTTTCACCTTGAATTGGTCAAAGCCAAAAAATCTGATGAATAAAAAGGAAAAGAGATCAAAAAGATACGCGAACGACTTTACTATAGTATAGGTCGATGTTTCCGTGAGTAGCGTATGGGCATCCGTGGTTGGGTAGACGGGGGTACAAATTCTGCCATGGAAGCTTTGGAGTGACCAACATCACTGTCTTGACTGTGTTACCAGAGGCTCTAGGGAAGTCAGAATAGAAGAACACTCATCTTGGGGTAGGCTTACTACTTAGATACTTTTAGCAGTTATCTGCTCCACACTTGGCTACCCAGCGTTTATTGTGGGCATGATAACTAGTACACCAGAGATGCGTCCTTCCCGGTCCTCTTGTACTAGGGAAAGATCTTCTCAATGCTCTAACGCCCACACTGGATATGTACTGAACTGTCTCATGATTTTCTGAACCTCAGCTCACGTACCACTTTAATGGGCGAACAATCTAACCCTTGGAACATACTACAGTCCCAGGTGATGAACAGCCGACACCAAGGTGCAAAGGAATGCATCCAATAGTGCTCTGTCTCATTGGTCCTCTCATGCCAGAATTAGCTTACAAACCCACTTTGTTTTTCCTCTAATCACTTCAATTAGAATACATGACTTCTCTTTTTTTAAAGTGAGACCATGTGAGATCATTCAATCAAGTTTTCACCAGCTTTTTCTAGGGGGTGAAATAATTAAAAATGGCATTTTTATCGGGTTTCCTAGATCAAATCAAAAAATTCAACACCCTGTGAAATTATGCTAAAAGTATGTGATATCACATAGGTTGACTTTGGTTCGGTATGATTCAATACAACTCTCTAGCATGGTTTTTCTATTAGTATGGTTCCACACTTTCCAATCCAGCCTTTTGCCATTCATTAACTTCCTTTCCCCTTCGCCTATTCTCGAGTAGTCTTGATGATACCATTCTTCCGAACTGTGTAGACCCCACCCAATCATAGGATCATATGAGAACATCGTGCAGATGCTCAGGTGCCATAGGCTGGCTAGTAAAAGAACCGAGAAGTACAACGCCTCTACTGACTTCAAGCTCTGTTGTCACTTACTTTTCTTTCTCTCTCTTGGGTCGTGTGATAGTCTGTTTTCCTTACATTATGCAAGGCGAAAGAACACTGACCAGCCTTTCTTTGAAAAATAAAAAAATGATTCAAAGGAGTGAGTTAGGGCGTGGACTGAGGCACACGTCATGTCCTAGATCTTTTTTATCTAATAGATGTATAAAGCAACTCTTTTTATAAGTCTCGCTTAGTTAGGAGCGCAAAAAAAAAGGTGTCATGTTGGTCGTATGGTGACTTGTTGTGGCTCTGGTGCTTCGTGGGGCTCCCAAGGGTGGAAACAGGCCTCCGTAGCACTCCAGGGTTAGTGGCGAAGATGCATTGACTACTGAGAATCGATTAGAGGATCTACTAAAGGGATCCACCAGCCGTGACCATTTGAGAACCACGAAAGGACCAAAGAAAAGAGAAAGCAGTAGAGAAAGACCTAGCAACAGAGGCCTTGTGAAAGGCTCTCAAGAAGCCAGAGTAGAATGTGGTGGAACAACTAAAAAAGATCCCCGCCGATAGGACAACCTAGACGCACCCGCTTTCTATTTTGGCATCTTGTCATGCCCAGATATTACTTGCAGTATTAATTGATAATGGGAGTGGTTGGAATGTTTGCATGTTGAGTAGTGTAAAGGCCCTGGGGGCATAGGGATATGAATAGAAATATGATGATGACCAACCTCCATAGGGCATTCAAAAATTCTGTTTGCCAAACTGTTGGAATAATTGAACTTGACGTTGTGAACAGGCCGTACCAGTTCAAGATTAGTTTGAATGTAGTAGATATCGAGGCATCGTTCACTTTCTTGTTGGGAATACTTTGGCTCAATTCAGCAGGGCCTTTCCCCATAAGGCCCATCTACGCTACACCAAAGGGTAAAGTTCATTATCGACGACCAACTGGTCACTATCTTGACTGATGACAAAGAAGTGGGCTCAAGAAAGGTAGAAGTTGTGCAACATGTAGAATCGGGACTTCCATTCCTATTGTATTAGTTCACGCTAGATCAATTAGGGCAATTGTATCCCCCTCGATGCAAGGCCATCAAAAAGAATGAAGACGAGCTCACCCGGGTGAAAAGTGCTAGCGAAGATGAAATTGCACCCCCTACGTTCGTACCACTCCCAACTACTGCATAAGCTGCTCGTAAGATGATTGTAATGTTGAAGCGGCACTGATACTAGTGCTTTTGTGCCAATGACTGTCAAAGTGGAAGCAGCATCATCAACTGTTGAATCAATAGAGACGAAAGAAGCTAAGCCAAATTGGAAGAGAGAGAAGAAGTTGAAACTAAAGCTAAATCAACTAGAGCAGCATCCGACAGTAGCATTTACTTTTTTCTTACGAATACTACAGCTGGTGGAGCAAGGGAACGAGCTAAGTGATTGCACTGAGAGCGAGTATCGGGCTATGTTCTCAGAGGAAGTTAGAGAGGTCATTAGTTAGGGGGTCTCATGGTCTTATCCACGTTCAGCTGAAAAACCTTTGTGCCATACATCTTTTCAGTATACCAAAAGTACTCTAGTTGTATATAGTTTCCCTATATTGAGAGGAGGGCTTTTCGAGACCAATCTAACCAACTAAAGAGGAGGCAGATCAAATATGGTGTGAAAAAACCCAAATCGATATGAATGAAGGATGTCTCTTGAACTTGTTTTTCTCATTCAGTTGAGGGAACAACCACAACGTTACGCCCCAAAATAGAACTATACAAAGCCCTTTTGAATGACACTGCAATGATTTGAATCCTTGTTCTTCGACTACTTTGACATAAGAAGGGCTATTTTTGAAAGAAGAGATTCAATGCCCCTGAAATAGGGGTTGAGGGTAATTAGGAAAGCTCTACACATGATCTCGTCAAGCAAATTATGGAGTTGCATGAGAGACTTATACATGTCAAGGTGAGATCGAAGGGATCCTTAGTACCATCAAAGATCTCTACGACAGACATCTTGAATTTTGAGGGTAAAGGGTAGTTGACAACATCTGCCACAAATGGAGTGTCAATACGTCTTACTAAATAAAACATTTTTTTGGGAGCCTGCGCCTTA